AGCCCGGCGCATAGCCAATTTTTAAGTGTTTTGCTTTGCCCGGCAGCTTCGGTAGGAGTGTGTTTTTCGCGCTTGGTGAATCACAGAGAGGTGCAGGATTTTTATTCTTTTCACCTAGTTTATGGTGAGGACAGAGTTCTCAACCTGCTGCAAGCTGTGGCCGGTGCCTTTTGCCCCTAAGGTCGGCTCCCTTCTCTGCATATTGCTTCCCCTTTCCCCTACTGGGGCACACATACTGGGAGGCAGGGCTTGGAAACTGGCACATCCCTCTCAGCATCCTGCAGCAGGCTGAAAGAGTTCAGCTAAAAGGAAAAATTCTCCTACCTCATCCAGCTTACCTTATTTCATTTTGATACGTAGATCCTGGAAAAAAAAGGAAGGAAAAAAAGAAAAAAAAAAAAAAAAAAAAAGCATGTGTTTAAAATGCAGGGAAATAAAATGTGATTTACTAGAGAACTCCTCTTACAGCCTGCCCCATGTTCCAGCTAGCACAGGGGCATCTCTCCTCCCTGGTTACAAACCTGCAGCATCCCTGTAGAACAGCTTGCACAGAAACTGGAAATTTCTGTGCACATAGCACTGAAGGTAAGCTTCAACAAAGACCCTTAGCACAGGAACTAAAGGTCATTGAAAGTTAACAGGCTCCCCAAAAAACGTTATACCTTTTGGAGTTAATGTGAATGGCAAAACTAATGGGCGACTGATTACTTGGAACCAATTTAAAAGAGAAACAACAAGGGAAAGTAAGGAGCTCCTTAACCAGGTCATGGTTGAGAGCAGGATCGGTCTGTTCACACTTAAGTTTACAGGTCTTTGCACTACACCAGAACTGATGTCAGTAGGAGATTTATATCTAATTTAAGATACTTTTTAATGTATAGACCAACCGTGAAGGCCCACTTACTTTTCTTCTTTAGGCAGCAGCAGCGTACAGCAACCACAATAATAATGATCAGAAGAATAATACCAACAAATGAAAGCACAACCGCAACTACAATAACCCACGTGCTTCTGCTGTCTTCACTGTAATCATTTTCTGTTAAATTAAATGGAGAAATATTGTACTATCAGAGCCTTGAAACATCCTTTTCAGAATTTTACCTTTTCTGTGAGAAGCTATTAACTACTTGTTGATTATTTAACATGGAGACTGTTTTCCAAATTACAGACTCTGTATTTATGGATGGTGGCCAAGAATTTAAAATGTTTCCAAATGCGAATTCTTTGTTGAAATTGTAACATTTCCCACTGCTACTTTTTTTCAAAAAATACAGGATTGCAATCTTACAGCCTATTTTGTTACATATGCTAGGCCTCCCAGCATCCTTTGGAGACATTTGGGGTTGGGGAGAGGTGTTAAGATTCAATTTAGATGTCTATACTGCAGATATTAAGCATCTTGCCTAGCTGCTCTTGTCAGTGGAGAGAAAATGGGTATTTTGGGTTACAATTCATTTGGCCAAATGTGTATGTGTCCCTTTAGATAAGTTGAACAGCTCTGAAGAGGTGTCCATTTCTCCCCACAGACCACAGCGACAGTCTTAGGTGACTAGTACAGTTGGAGACCTCTGTCTGTGTCTGTAGATATGATTTTCTAATGAATCTCATCTTGGGATTTCTCTCACTGATTTCAGCAGGTCTTTGATTTTGGGACATACTTGGTAGGGCATCTGTTATCCACTTAAAGAGCAGCAAAGAGCAAAACCTGTAAAGAGTAGCACCGTTTGGGAATACACAGCTACTAACCCATTTTCTCTACCAGCGTTCTTGCAACATTATCTTGTTCCTTTGGCTTTATTATAATCTACAGGGTTTAAATGAGGTTATTTCAAGATAATTCAGTGTCTTGCTGAAATTGGTTGCTATGACCAAACAAACAGTTTTCCTACAGAGCTTCCACATCCACTGAATTTTAAAAATACCTCAGATTTCTCAAGTAGATGGATACACAAAGATGTTGGTTCTGGTTGTCACATCATACTGCCCTTTGGTTTTGACCAAATATTTCAGAAGCACCTGTAATTTGGCCACCCTTTGAAAAGCAGCCCCAAAACAGTTTTGACAGTTGTTTAGAAACAAGCTTCCAATACAAATGACAGGTGTGAGACACATCCAGAGTTGACAAAACCCATTCCATCGCACTGACTGTGATTGTCATTTCCTCATTAGCAGTCCCAGTTAACCACTGCATGGCCACATTTAGCTGACAGCCTCTGGAAAAGGTGCTGCAGCAGTGTAGGTGACTGGTAGCTGTACAGTGTCAGGGCTGTTCCCCTGATGTGTCAACCAGAGTGTCTGCTGGTTTACCTATGGCAGGGAATAAAGCAAATCCTTTCTATCTACAAGTTTGCTTGGACACAAGTTTGGGGTCTGGAGTTTTTAGACTGCAAAGATACAGGATCAAAGGCTCCTATGAAGCTTAAACCTCTGTTAGAAGTCTGCATTCTCCAAAGCTCAGATCATTATGACTAAGCAATTTGTTCCAGTCTTCTCTAATCCTAGTGCTCAATCAGTATATTTTGAATTTCCTCTGACTATTAGAGAAAACAAGCACTTGGTAACCTGCAAACTAGCAGTTAATTCTGGAGGCTGTAATAAGTTGTGATTACAATTGGTGATAATACTTTTACCTAGAAGTACTGAAAAAAAATCTGTATTTTGTCATATTTTGTTCCATAAGCATGCCACAGGGACTTCAAGATGCCTAAAATATGAAAGACAGCTATTTAGCTGTAGGGGAAAGCTTAACCTTAAGAAGATAAACACACCTGCACTGTCCCATACCTCCATGCTGGCTACCACAGCAAGGTATTTCGCTCCCTGTCAGGTTCTGGTAACATGTCAAAAGAGGATCTATGGAGCTGAAGTAAAAAGGACACGATACAGCACAAATGCTCCTAGCACTTCACCATTGTAGTTTCTCCCCAGTTTTGGAGGATCCAGAAAGAAACTGGAGCCAGGACCAGCAGGTATGAATACAAGAGCTGCCAGGTCAACACGCAAAGGAAGATCAGGCTCATGGCAGATCCCATATCTTCATCTTCTGCAGGTCAAAGGGCACATGAAGTCAACACTGATGCCAAAAAGATCTTGGGCCCAGGTAAGGGACTCTGCCATGGACCCCATTTCCCAGTAACAGCTCTCTGAATGCATCTGCCAGGACAATTGCACAGGAGTTCCCAAATCTGGGTCTTAGCCAAACATCACTGTGAACGAAGTAATTCTGGAGGAGGAGTGACTGGCATAAAAATGCATCACCTTGTATGGAAAGGTCTGAGATTAAGACTGTTCTAGAGGTGCAGGAAGGTGGGACATCCGTTGAGCAGGAGAAGGCTGGCTGAAGAGAGCTCAGACTTTTGTTTGCAGTTCTTGTGAATGGACAGTTATTGCTTGAGAGGAACATGGAGGAATTTGATTCCTCAAGATTTAAGTGAAGGCTGAAACTGATATTTCAGTAGTTTGAGGAAGGACTCCTTCAATGTTTGAAGCTGGTCGTATTCTTTCCTGACAACTGCTAGCTAAGGCTGGGTCTGCATATGAGAATTCAGACAAGCTCTGAGATTTCAGGTGTGATATATATATGTTATATATCTTCCTGTGACGTAAATGCCATGTCTTCATTTCATTCTAATAGTTTAAAGACTTCATATTCTCATATCCTGATGAATTTTCAGTGTCTGATGATGCACAATGATTTTTCCAGAGATAAATGAATGATGGTCCTATACAATCAATAATTATACACTAATTGTGCTTCATGACATCTGGTTTTCTCTCCTTATGATTTACAAAGAGTAGCTATGGAAAATGAGGGTGGATACCTCAGCACTTCACAAATGAGTAGGCAGGGGAATTTATTCATTTCCTCAGGATAGTTCTATTTTGCTTAGTCAGTAATTAGGAGGAATCTGACTACAAAGAAGTCATATTAAGAATGGTGAAATGACCTTTTTCAACTGCATTACAAAGCAAGTAAGAAGTAGTAGCAGATATACTGACAAAGGTTTGCTAAGAATGACTCACAATAAAAGGCACAGTTACTCAACCTCAACTGTTTATATGTCAAAACCTTCTGTACCAAACCCCTCATCAATCCACTATAAGAATGTCTTTGAATGTGCTGTGTTCACCCATTACAAAAGAATCAGTTCATTAAGACAAGCTGTCGGCACGGTTATAGAAGTTCACAATGCTCACCACATCATTTAAAAAAAAAATAAAAAAGGCAGATTTGAGGCCCTACTCTGTACAGAAGACAGCTAGGGATGCATAGACCCATTGCAAAAAACTACATATAATCTATACATTTCCCATACCACAGGATAAGGCTAATAAAAGGAATGTCACTGTAGGGTGGACTATGTCACCACAGGAGGCAGTGTACCTGTGCCCAGTAACCTTAGCTCCCTGCCATGCAACGACTGCTTCAGTTTTACTTTGCCTTGAGATTCCTCTGCATGACAGTTGAGACACTTGGCTAGTCCCAACAGAGAAATGCTTCCTAAGGATGAGCTGGTATTGCCTCTCTCGTCTGCATTAAACACTGCTAACCCACAACGAGATACTTCCTCTTCCTTGCTCTTACCGTGTTATCGTTTGGAAAAGAAAAACATTTTTCACAGGATTCTGTTAGATTGTGAGGCAGATCTGTAGCTGATTGTCCCACTTGCTTTGTTCCATGCTGGCAGCACAGACCAGATAAAATCACCCTTTTCCTGATGAACCTCGTAGTACTGTGAATGTGTCAAAGTATGGAGTTTTATTTTCATAGGATGTCAGTAAGGCCAAAAATTAGAAGAATTACAAAAAATGCTGACAACCTTAGTGAAAATATTTAGAGTTATCAAAGGTCTTGCTGGCTGTTCTTGAGAGACTTGCCCAATATCCAGTCTTGGATTAAAATGACCTCGAATTTCCTTAAATAAAAGACAATAAAAAGCAACCAAGTGCACCGTCCAAAGAATTCCACATACGTTGCTGCAGGACAATTTTTAGCTTCCTCTAAGATGTGGAAGAGACCATGCCAGGAAGAGGACAGCAGGCCCAATGACTCTTTGATCAAAAACTGGACTTTGGGATAAGGCCCATGAATTTGCAGCTTCTCTTGATGACCTGAATTTTGTTCTGTAATGGGTGAATACACCTGATACAAAGACTTTCTTATGGCAGATTGGTGATAGGTATACAGTATAGGAGTTCCTACATATAAATGCTACCATCTGCAATTAGGTGCCAGCCTCAGTTCAGCCCTGGGGACGTTACCACCTTATTACAACATCTCCATCACATTTGGTCACTGCTCATGTTGAGAAGTTTCTATTTGCACCTGAAGTGCTAGTGCAGAATCTATTCTGGGTTGTGTGCAGAAACTGGGAGTAAAATTCAGGTTTTTTTCCAAGTGAGTGGTAAACTGGGTACTGAATATTATGGAGAACAATTACACCTGAGGGTTTGGCTTTGAGTAAATGAGGTCTAACAAATTATGTTAATATGGCAGGCATGGCCTAATCAAAGATATTTAAGATCTAAATTAATTACATGTTTACTTGGTGAAAGAGCAAAGTTCAGTTTTCTTGGCAGTGAATCCGGAGCAGGAGTCAGTGGTGAATGTACTGCCTCGTTCGTCTGGCTCAGTACTATGTTGGAGTTTGTGGTTCATTAGACTTGTGCCAGTCCTCTCACAGATGTGAATTTAATCCTATGTATCAGGTTATGACTACTGGGTCTTAATTTTATCACCTTTGCACATCTCATAGTATTTCATTTGCAGATAAAAGACTTTTAAAAAATAAAACAAAACAAAAACCACAGTTCTAAGAAAACAGTATAGGCAACGTACAACAAACATCCACTTACCTATAGCAGAGTTGACAAAAATAACAGTTACAGTTGCATTCTGAGGGTTAGGGAGTGCATCTATGTCAGCTAAACAAGTCAAAATCTCAGTGTCCATCGGAGTCAAAGTTAGGATGCTCAGGGCATTGCGGAGGCCATTAGATCCTTGACTTTCCTGGGTAACATACCTCGACTTATCAATGAAAGAGTCATTTGTCATCCAGGTAATGTCTGGAGCTGGAGCCCATCCTAAGGCTTCACAAACAATTTCAACTGTTTTGTTGTCTTTTACTGTTAAGGTGCTATTTTTGATGAATAAAGATCCATTAACTGTAGGAGGGAAAAGATGTTTTGTTCCTTCAGAATATTTGGCTGCATTGCTTTCCTGCTGATAGCTTTAAATCTTATACTGCCACCCAGAAATAGCTATGCCTTGAGATATGAAGTCAAAAGCAATCATTATTAACACTGATATACCATATGCATGATATAAACATGCCGATATTGCAACTTCATGGACACATTTTCCAGTATATCTAAAGCACATCTCGGCTTTCAGTACCTTTGCAATAAAAAGCAGGAAATTATACTTTTTAGCCATCCTGATATATTTCCAGCTGAAGGACAGCATAATGAAATGACAGTGTTTCTCTCTAGAGTTTAAGTATGCTCAGGTTTTATCAGGAAAAGTTTACAGGTATATGATATGTTCTCATTGCAGGGAGCACCTCTTTGACAAATGGATAGTGTCTGGTGGTTGGATCTAGCTTTACTGGCTGCACTTTGCCACTACCAATGCTTCAGAGAGGAGGAAGAGGTCCCATACAGAGGGGTGTGATACACAGGAACTTTTTGTTCCTTGGAAATGGAAGCTTGCAGCAACAATCATATGAACAGTATTGCCTTGTGTCTCAAGGGCTTTACTGCTACATGCCGTTAAATCAAACTCAAATAAGCTGGATACAGACTGATTACTGAGTCAGAAATCAGGAGGGACATCTGCCCTAAAGACAGTAGAAAGTTCATGCACAAAGATGTGTGTATGGGGTAATCCATACTATTTCTAGCCAAAAGATAATTTTTGACTGACTGCTGATGAGCCTTCAGACACTTTAATGCAATCCAATAAAGAAGAAGAGTGTAACAGGAAAAAACAAGGGCAGTTAAACCTTTGTTAATGGCACTCTGAATGTGACTCTGAAGTTTGCTTTGACAGTAAAATTAAGACAAGGATGACAGGAGGGCAAAGGATGGTAAATGTGCTCCTTTGCAGGGATAATTTGGGCAATCCATCAGAGGATTTCTTTAAATGCAGTATAATAAAATAGCTTTCTATTGATGGCTGTACACACCTTGAACAGAAAGAAATGCAAAACTGCTGTTACCAGGTTGCTGGATGCTGCATTCAATTTTCCCAGAGTCACTCAGCTGTGTGTTGTGGATGATCAGCTCTGAGGTAAACGCATTGCCACTGGTATAATTTTGAGAGGTGAAGCGGCCTGGTGTTTCAAAAGGCCCTTGAGAACTGATGACAGTGAGGACAGGATTTCCATTGGACAGCCAAATGAGAATTACCCATCCTACCGACACAGTGCAATTAAAGTGGGCTTCTGAACCAGCAAGGACCGTTGCATTAGCAGGGCCATTTATAATAGAGTAACAAAAGCCAAGACCTGGAAGGAAGAAAAAACACTGTCTGTAAATACATATACAACACCACCAACAAAGGCCTTTGACTTAATTTTAGATTAAAAGATCTTAAAGAGTTCAGAGGTCTTTCAGCTCCAGCTTAGACTAAATGGTTTTCTTTAAAGATGCATTTGATTTTAAGTCTCTCCTCCTCCCACTCCAAAATCACCTAACTTTCTCTCTTCAGTGATTCACTAAAAAGTTGACTTATCATTTTGCTGAAAGAAAAAAGTTCCACTTTTGAATAGGAAAATACATGAGTTCTCTAGACTTTAAATAAACAAAGGAGTATGCAACTGGTCCCTTTTCCATTCCTCAGATTGCTGCTGATTTTTTGCAGCCCCAGCATATACCCTTCCAACCTCTTTCCCCTATTCATCTGCCTCTTCCCTTATTTCCGTGTATGCATCACAGATATCCTTCCCCACCTTCTCAGGCTTTACATTAGCCTGAGAATAGCTGTAATTAATGAGTTTTTCTCCTTAAAAGGTAGTATGAATTTTGGCTACCATTTTTCAGACCTGAAAGCTCATTTCTAATGAAGGTATTCTGTTTTCCTTTCCTCCTCAACATAGTCAAGGCCTTCTATTGCCCTCAGAAGAGTGAATGTGCAGCTGTTGCCCAGGCAGATGGTGGATCCCCTGAATGTGGGAAGGCAGAAGCACTTGTTTTACCAAGCAGAAAGTGAAGGCAGGATGAAGGCAGAAACCTTTTTTCCAAAGCAGTATTTGTGACTTCAGTCCCTGACATAGCTAGGGGAAATTGGTGTGATTTTGAAGGTGGAAAAACCTTAAAGTATTTCTCAGACCCTAGTCTCCATGAGAGACAAAACTTCAAACTGTAAGAACAACCCAGATTATTTGCTTGATGTCTTAGGGAACAGGATTTAAGAGAGCGCTGTTGTGTAAAATTAGGAACCTGCTTTTCTGGGTCTTTGTTCTTTGTGAATTACTTTGGATTTTGGCTCCATTCCCCAGAGCATGCTAAGTAGAGCAAGGGCAGAGGTGCTGTCGATGCCCTTCTTGAAGGAGTAGCTGACCAAATGACCATAGGGTAGTTCAGATTGGAAGTGACTTCAGGAGGTCTCCAATCCAGCCCCTCTGATAAAGCGGGTTCAGTTCTGAGGTTGGATCTGTTATCCTGTCAGGGTTGAAAACCTCCAAAGATGGAGACAGCAGAGTTTCTCTGGGCAACCTGCTCCACTGTCTGACTGTCCTCATGGGGAAAAAGCTTTTCCTTTTGTTCACTCTGAACCTCTCATTTTTCAACCTATGCCTATTGTCTCCTGTCCTCTTGCCCTTCACTGTGAAGACCCTGGCTCCATTTTCTTGCAGGTACTGGCAGGCTGCCCTTGGAGACCCCCTGCCATCTCTTCTACCAGATGAACAAGCCCTACTCTGTCACCTGCTCCTCAGAGGGCAAACATTCCAGCCATTATCATCTTAGTGGCCCTCCACTGAACTCACTCCAGTTTATCAATGTCTTTCCTGTACTGAGGAGCCCAAAGTGGTATGCTCTCATAAGCCAGTCACTTACTAAGTCACAGCCACCCACAACCCTGCTGATTGCAGGTAGAGTGGATGGGAAGGGAGACGACTGCCATTGCAGGCACCGATGTCACCGATGTTCATCTCAGGGACTGCCCGTGCTCTGCACACATCCCACTAGACACAGCTCTTTCTCATCCCACACAGCTGCTATTGTCTCTTCACCTGCCTTGAAGCTCGGTCCGCTCCCTTTCAGCCTGGCACTTACCTGCACCTCACTGTGAGAGAGTTGCTCTTTGATGGGGGCATTGAAAGGTTTTGGTGGCAAGGGACCTCAGGAAATCTCTAGCCCAACTCTCTGCTCCAAGGAGAGCCAACTTCACAGTTAGGCCATTTGCACAGGGCCTTGTAAAATCAAATTTTGAATATCTCCAAGGTTGGAGATTTCACAAGCTCTCTGCAGACCAAGCAGCCCTGCCAGTGCGATCTACCTCACCAGTGAGTTTTCCATCACTAACTGGGAAATATTCATGCAGAGGAAGCACCAGGACTGACAGTGCTACCCCTAACGAATCAGACTGTAGTCTGCATAATTACAGCAATTAGATAGTACAGTCCATAGCAGTCTAATTAAAAACCTGTGTCTGCAAATTTGGCCTGAGCATAATTGTTCAATTATTTTCTAGGAGAAAGAAAGTCTGAAATGGCCATTACTCCCTTGCTAAGAGTATGCAGGACAATTATGTGATTTTTAATGTTTTCATTCAACCCAGGTTTTGTACATTTTAGGTAGTTTATTCATTAATGGATTAATAATAAATTATTGAAAAACTCATTTTTCATTCAGTTGTTGGCTGACGTGAGTAGGGGAGAATGTGCTGTATTGTTTCACACAAAAGAGATGTTAGATAGTTGCATAAATGGAGCTAGTTATGACGTTGCATCCAGAGCCTCAGTGAATGCACCCAGGGCATAGGGTCTGTAATCTCATTGCTTCAATGCTAACATCATTTTCTAATTCCCAGCTCACATTTAATCCTAGGCAGTGTATATCTAACCAGGTTTGTGCCAAGAATTGTTCTTTAATATAAATAGCTCCTCTCTTTCCTCCCACCACAGCATGTATTTACAGATAAGAGCCTTTTCATTCTTTGTTTTGCAGGATTATACAAACCTAGCTCTCCCTGGTTCTTTGTGTGCATGACTCCAAGTTCTCTCATGTTTACAAAATCCTTTACAAAAATTTTCCACCTTCCTGGGTTATGTTACCTCTGCCATACACCTGATTCTCCAAAGTCTATCTGTATGTAAGCAATAAAACATTAAATGAAAAGCAAACTTCACTTCCACTGATAAAGCCAGATAAGATACAGTAAAACATATTTCTGTTCAACTTAAATGGCTCATTTTTACAGTAGCATTTATTCAAAGCTCTCTTCAGACTTGTAAAGGTGAACTGAAATGCTTTAAAACATGAAACAGCTTGAAGATGAACTCAGCAAACAAATCCATATGCATACCTTAATATGTTGCTTTATAAACAGTCAACCTAACAAAATGCCTAAAAAAAACCCCAAAAAACCACCATTTCCCCGCTTTTCTGTTTTTCACTTTCTGAATGTTAGAGATCGGTCACATGTCTGTGGATGGCATCATTTACAGAGCTACAGGTTTTCCAATGAACGTGTACTGATGGAGTGCATTCTAGTGAGACTATTTGTCACGTATTATGGCCCTCTTCCCTGATATTCAACATCCAGTTGTCACGATTTCTATTCATTACGTATATTTCCAGGGTTGAGACACTGTCCTAAGCTCAAATGTGTCTTTTGTTTTTTCTATACTTGTATTGTAGCCAGCCTTTACAATACTACTCCCTGTACATCTATGGTGTCTATAACACGTTCATGTGCTGAGTTTTTTTTTATTTTTAGACTTTGTTTGAATTCTTCCTGACTGGTTGAAGTGGACATAAACAGCTACCATGATGACACAGCCATGAAAAAACTTCATTAGAGTTAACACCAAAATGCATTTAGTTGTTCATGAAACAGGAGCTGCAGTACTTACCCAAACTACTCCTCTTAATGCAAACTGATTTCTATGCATTCATAATTTATTTCTATGCCTGTGCAAACACTTTTTGAAAGAGCCATGGTTTGCCATGGCTCTGAATAAATGATGAGACTTTCAGTACACTGTTAGCTGTTAATTAATCATTTGCTATGAGATCATGTCTGTGAGTTCCATTATAGTCTTGAGATTTATCCCTAAATATGAATAATCAGTGATCATTGGCTCTAAAAATATATGGCTAATATCGCTTTTCTTTTCTTCAGATAGTCAGAACACTATAGGGAGGTAGGTATGAGTTATTCCTTCATTTATCCAATATAATCATTTTTTGTCAGTCCATAAGAATGGTAAGATCTACATCTTCTTCCACCAACTACATCTGTTGGAGCAAGAGATGGTCTTTCACTGCCTTCTGTGGGCTAGGGAACAGGTCCATAAGCCCAGTATGGGGATCCTATAGGTGGCAGGAGAACTGAGGAGTGGGACATAGCTCAAACTTGCATCCATTTAGGTCTCAGTAGAGCCCCAGCACAACCAAAAAAGGACCTTCATGAGCCTTCTCCACCTGTTCCCAAAACATTTTCATTGGGTTTATCTTTGTCTCTTTATCTTTTTGCTTTCATTTTTTGTCCTGCAAGAGCACATGGAGTCCTGAACCAACATTGTGTTCCATTGTCTAATCCATGTACAAACATTGATAAAGTAACTCATGTAAGGTCAAAGAGGACATTCATAACAGAAATGGGATCTAAACCCAGTTACCAGTGCCCTAAGCCAATGCTAAAAGTCCTTTTGCTGGGCCTTGCTTGCTTCTTCTAAGGAGAAAATTTTAGTGCTAGTTTCATTTACATACCACTTAAGAAATGTCTTGCAGATGGTTGCTTTTAGACAAACTAAGGCCTCAGGCTAGATTGTCATTGCACTTTAGAGGAATTACAGCTGGTTTAACATCTGCTTCCCCACACACAACCAATGAGAAATCACACCCAGGCAGATATCATCTTTGCAATAGGGAAGTGTTAGTCTGTCTTCATGATACTGCATTACCCCTTGACTTTTGAAGAACAAAGCTGAGTTAGGACACCTTTTTAAGGCACATCGCAAAACATTTATAAAGCAGTCACCAGTGGTGAAAGTTCGCTTAAGCTGATAAGTATTTAAGGTATTTCAGTTGTTCAGTCCTTCCCAACAGCATGCAGAGTATACACCAACTCCTTTATGAGCTATTTATTCCCTCTATCACACAAATTCACTGTCACATCACTGGTGGTTTTGAAGAAACAAAAATGCATCTCGTTCCCTGGATAATGCCTGCACTGAGGGAGCCTCGTTTGCCAGAGACCCACCCTTGCCCTTTGTCACCAATATTTTTTCTTCCCTGCTTGAACTAACTCTAAATGACCACTTTTTCATGCTGAAGGTTTTGGCAGCAAGGGCATTGAGACGCGGCTACTTTCTTTTCTTTCCCTCCTCTCTTCTGCTGACTCTGTCTTTCCTCTTTCATAACTGGCCTGTTTGGATGCAGGACAGAGAAGAACAGGATGGACTTATCATTTTGCCATAATGATTCCTTTCTCTTTTTTTTTGCCTCATTATTGTATTTTAAAATAATCTCCCCCTCTATACCCGTATGACCCTTCCATAAACACTGCCTTTTATCCTTCAGGTTTTGCATCCAGTCTCTGTCTTCCTCCCTTTCTTGTCTGCTATTTCTGCTTGGATTTCTGCATTTTTTTTTCCTTCCAGTCTGTTTTAAATTCCTTTTTCTTTTCACTCTTTCTTTAGTCTCTTGCTCACCCTACCTTGTCTTCTTCTTTCCCTGCCTCATCACTGGCCCGCTGCTCCAGCAACAGCTCTGCAATAAATTGGTTTGGATTTGGTAAGATTTTTCTTCAGAACATGTCAAGTTTATTTCAAAAACCAACAACCCCAAAGCTGAGCTTTTTGAAAACTGAAATAGGTTAAAGCTTGTCAAAACCTGCAGAGAAGGGCTGGCTTGTTTGCTTATGTTAACAGGACTTTTTAAACACTTACGGGATGTTTCTGTCAAGTAATACTGGTCTACTGATACTCAGCAACACATATTTCCACCCACCTGCACACAAACCTCTCCACAGCCCCCAAGTGTGTCTTCCTATCTCTTCTCTTACTCAGAGTTTGATAGCTGTCCTTTGCAGCCTCTCCTGGCTCTGCTGCTGGACTACTCCTCCTCTCTCCCCACACCGTCTCTTGTCTCTAGTGGTGAGGGTCCCCAGGCTGGGAGCACTGCAGCAGCACTACAACCAGTATCCTGGCAGCAGGCTGGGACCCTGCACTGCTTGTTGGCCCTGCCCTCTGTGATACTACTGATGTCAAAGGGCATGCCGTGTCCATCCACAGGGATGCTCAAGCTGTCTCTGTTGTGCAACCATTTCAGCAGCCTAGACACACTGCCCAGCCTTGTGACTCCTGATATCCTGAGAGCAGCAACTCTTCTTTCAAGAGCAACACTTGATTCTCCACACTACACTTTTTTCTCTGTTTTGGGGTCTGCTCCAGTGGCTGCACTGCACAGCGTGGGCAATGCCTGCTGCGCCAGCACAGCTTGCAGGTGAGGCAATAAAACACCCATTGCAGGCATGCTTGACTAAAAGCATTAGTGAAGGGTAACAGAAATTCTCTAAAATATTTGGTGCTCTGCTCTGGATTCTTAGGAAGACAGTGGAAAGAAACAGAACAAATAAAAATTGAGGTTTTCTTATTAAAACTTCTCAGTGTCCAAAAGTAAGAGATCTAGGGAATTTCTGAGACAAGGATTGCATCTGCATCTATGGATCTATCCTCCATGATATTTTTTTCTAGCTTTTTTTCAGCCTGTTTATAATTTGGTATCGCCCATATCCAGTGACCATGAGCTTTACTATTTAATTACATACTGTGAGGAAAAGCACATTCTTTGGTTTGCCTTAGATCTTCTTTCTTTGCCACTAGTTCTTTTTATTATGAGAAATTATGAATAACCATTTTGCCATTTACAACCATATAATTAATTTTTTAATAATTTTTTGCTATTTCTTCTTTTTCACAAGCAGAAAAATATCCCAGTCTAATTAAGGTCTCCTCATACCTTTGATCACCTCTGTCACACTTAATACATTTCTCAGACCTATGTCCTTTTTGAAATGTGAGGGCTAATAAAATATCCAGTATTCAAGATACAAGCTTTATGCAGATTTATATAAAGCCAGGTTTCATTGTATTTCCCTTGCTGAAGACACTAAGTGGTGAAATTTTCTCTTTTTCAGCAATTTACTCTCTCCAAGGTATCTATTCTTTTCCCCCACTAGACATCTTCCGTTAAGTGATGCTTTACATTGAATGTTTTCTGCTCCCTTATTACTTACTCACTTGGCATCATGACATTTTCTGTCAAATCTTCCTAGTCTCTTTTTGGATTTGGCTGCCCTAAGTAATTCTGCACCACCTGCAAAGTCTGCCACCTCACAGTTCACTCCTCTTCACTGGGTTGTTTAAAAGCTTGTTGAATACCACACATCCTTGTGCAACCCTACTGGGAACACCACTCTGCTCAGGAAACTCAACATTTATTCCTGCATCGTGTTTCCTTTCACCAATAATCGAGCTATGACAATACATTCCTTCTCATCCCACTGCAACTCCCTCCTTTCAGAGCATGTTAAAACCCCAGCTAGACTACAATAAATAAAAAAAAAGCCTTGTTTCCGTTACCCAACTAGTCACTTTATATTCATATTTTCTTTAAAGCTCCAAATTCACTTCGAAACTCAGACATGTGAAATGTAAATTGGAGGCAAACTAGCAAAATTATAATTTGCACATATTTCTGGAAGCAAAATCAGCTGCTGATATTGAGTTCTCTACAGATGCCCCCTCAAAAGCAGTTCCAAACAGACAGGAGGAAGATGAACACAAGTAGAGGGAGAAATAAGTGGGACATCCCTCTCACTGGAAGTGAGAGAGGGCAGCCTCCCCATCTCCTCCCCACTCCATCCACTGCTCACTCCTGAATACTGGAGCCCACTCTAAGCCCACTCATTCAGGTTTGAAATGCAAACTTAACCATTTCAAACACTTTAAATAATCCCCTTTTTGGACTGACCAATCTGATATCACCAGTGACTGCTATTTACATGGCTTTAAAATTAGTTCACACATTTTGTCCACGGTGTCTCATTTCATGGGTTATGAATGTGTCTTACCTGGTAGTGAGGTGGTTAAGATGAGAGGAATTAAAATGAATTTCTGGCACCTCTCCATTGGAGCATTCTCTCCTGGTCCCTACAGCAGAAAGCTGCCAGCGGTCACTGCATACCTGAGAAGAAGCTGAAGAACAGAATTTATCAAGAAACTCAGTAATCAGCTGCTGGTTTGTGTCCTGTGATAAAATGTGACTTTATGTGACCTGTATTACCAACAAGGGGAGAAGATTAAATGAGGGAGGGTTTGGAAGGAGAGCAGTATCTTTCCTGAAAACAACAGTTTCAAAAGAAGTAGAGGAGCTTTCTTCAGCAGAGCAACCTCCCGCTATGGACCTTGCATGTCTCGTGCCCTTAGTCCCTTCTGGCTATTACAATACTACTGCTTCACGATTGACTGTGTCAGGGGAGCTCCATCTGCACCGTTAAAGTTAATAATGAGCAGCTGAAAGAGATAATTCTCTAAGCTGCCCACAACTGCATTGTGGTTGCACCATCCACGCTGCTGGCAGTGTCCTGGGAGACTAATGAACCCTGTGCTCCATCACCTACTGTCATGCAGGGCAACTGCACAGAGGACCAGCCACTACCCTGGGGTCAGAGGGGCACAAACCTCCATACAGAGGGGTTGTTAGCCCCCCTCAGGAAACTGATGCCCACTGCACCAGGCAGCCTTCAGGAGAAGAAGTGGGAATATATCTCAGGGAACCGCTACACCCAAAAAGTCTCAATGTTTTTCTGTGTGCTTTACTCCAAAACTAGGATTCCTATTCATACTTTTCCAGGGAGAGCCTGGTACCATCATTGCTGTGGCAATCCCATCTGACCCACACCACACAGGCACCACCCCAGCCAGGAGGAACTGCTCCTGCCACCCTGGACTCTCCATCCCACCTGCCTTGGGGCAAGGATGAGAAACACCACATCTCCTCCCAGCTCCCCAGCACTCAGCACTCAGAAAGTCTGCTAGTGAAAAGAGGGTCCCCAGAATTATTTCTCTGAACTTGACAGAGCCTCTTACACCCCAGAATAAAACATCACCAGCTCTCCACCACAGTCAGAGATAAGATACAGAGCTTGGGTGGGAGCCATCACCTTACTTCTGCATTTTCTGCTTTTCCAGTGTTTGTGATTCACTTGTGTGATATTACTCTCCTCCCCCTCAAAATATGTGGGAGAAAGTTGACTGCGCTGCTTGATTTACAAACTTCTCAGCTGGGAAATTGAAACTTGCCTTCATGAAAGGGACATATGGGTCAGAGGATTTGGTTTTGTGTCCAGACCAAATTTCTTGTCAGGTAAATTGTTTTGACTTCAGAGGTGTTCTTTGTGGCAGCTCTGTGAAATGCATAAATATTAAGATCACCACAGAGATACCCTGAGTTTCCTCTTAACAAGCATAATTTTTTAACCACCCTTTTGCTAAAACCAAAACCACACCAAGGCACAAAACACAACCACCCTGGCCCAGCTGTTTTTCTGCTCTTCAGCAAGCAGTTCATTTTGCAGTTTTGTGCAAAGACCCTACATTAATTCCCAGCAGAGCTTTTGTGAAAGCAGCAATGATGGGATGGCACAGAGGTGGGTGGCAGTGCCTCTCATGGGGTGCCCATGTGGGGGGAATACCCCATGGCCAGACCTTCCCTGCCCGCTGCACCACTGTAACCAACAAAAAACATTTTTGCTGTCTTTCCAAACACGTTCAGCTGTAGCATCAAGCTATACCACAGCTCTGTTCACTGCTTGGTGCTTTAAGCAGGGGGGGGGTCTCCCTAAGTTTACTGCAGCAGTTGCAACCTGACCAGTTCGGCTGGCAGCGTGCTCCACATTTTCCTGTTTTGCAAGCTTTCAGTTTACCTTGTGAACGTAAGGGACAGCCCTGTCAACTAATCAACATTTCAAGATGAAACTGTGGGCTGATTTCTTCGCCTGTGTGTTGGGAGGGGGGCTAGTCTGTAGGCTGATTTGGGGTTGCCCACTGTATTTTGAATGATTTTTGTTTTTTCTCACTTCCATGCTTTGTGCATAGAGGAGTCCCCAGCAGGCAGCTGGGGTGGGGGGTTCACTGTGCAAGGCTCAGAGGGGTTTCTCCTTGCTCTCTCACTGCAATAGCTCTCAGCATTTACACAAAGCCATCAGTATTTTTTAAGTGGTAGTATTATCTGTCATATGAAGTTGAACAACCCAAGTAAAGCACAAGGAAACAAACTCAAAAGTCAGGGCCATGTCCTTTTCCAGGAAGATGCGATCCTGGGAGGGATTTACAGGCCTGAAGAGGACCCCACCAGCCCAGGCAGCAGCCTTCTTGCCTCCACTTACAAATCTGGCTACACCAACACAACCTGAGCTGAGCAAAGTTTTAGAAAGAAGAATAAACTTGCTAGAATCTTATGCCCAAATTCAGGCCAAAATCAGTAAATAGCTTGGTGTGAAGTAAAGCAAGAAGGGAAATGAAGGGATCCATAGCGTTTTGTTTCACTTTGTTTCAAAACAAACTTCCAAACAGATGGGAAGTATTACCTGATCCCCAGATGAAATAGGATATTTTGGCCAATGATGAATTCAGTACCTGGGGTTTGGCCTGAGCTGCTTTCTCCCTTCTCCACAGGTGCGTGGGCGACTCGCATCGCCAGCGCTGCCATGCGGGGCAGGCACTGCTCGCAGCCCTGCGGCCCAGTGCTGAGCCTGCTCCCTCCTGCCTCGCAGCAGAGCCAAGGGGATAATATTGATAATATCGGTCTAAAGGAGTGGCAGCCAGATGCAGCATGGCACAGAGGGGGGCTCAGATGATTTGGGCAGCCTGCGCAGCAGGGGACATGCAAAAGCTGGGGCGTGCCGTGGGAGAGGGGATCGCGAAATGCCCAGCCCAGGGCTGGCTTCCCTGCTGAGGCAGGAGCAGGGGAGAGGGTTAAATTATCCTTCAGCCGCCAGCTTCTTCTGCCAGGAAGCAGATAATGGCTCCTGAGGGGTTACCTGTATCGATTCAGCCACTGAGAGGGTATCTCCAACCGCTTTCCCTTTGACGACAGGCCGCTCACACCCTTCACCTAGCGCACGCAGAGGAGACCGGCGGTGTTCAAAGCAAGGAGCCCTGAGCCAGCCCTCACCTCCTCACCCTGGGAAACGTCCCCCAGGCAGCAGGGCAGCTGCCCAAGGCACGGTGAGAAGGGAGCGCAGACCTCTGCTGCGTCTCAGCCGCCAGGTCCCTGAGCACGCACCTGCCCTGACATTGTCCCGGTGATGTGGTGAGGTAAGGATTGCCTCTCCCCTTCCCCCCGCCCAAATACGCCTATCACTGTGTTAATATTTAACCAGTCCTGCAGGAGGAAGTAAGGCACAGCCTATGACACACACGTGGGAGCAAACTTCACGCCGTCGCGCCCTGAAAAGCTGGATGGGTGCCGCCGCCTGACTTCTCAGCAGAGGATGGCTGCACCGCCTTGCTGGGACACAACGCGGGGCACTGCGGGAGGCACAGGATTTGTTTTCCCCGGTTTATAATGGCACAGGTAAGTGCATCAGTGCCCCACACCAAGGTTGGACTTCATCCCACCATTACAGTGCTGCAGGCAACATGGCAGAGAGCTGTAGCACCTACCCGTGGGCTCTGCACTGGCTGTGCCCTTGCCAACAAGCACTGTCACTCACAGCTGGGGGTGCCAGGGTCCATCTTCAGCCCCTGACAGGGCAAGAGGGTGAGCCAGGGCCAGGGACCATCCAGGGCAGTCCAGTGAAGAGCTGAAGGAGGCAGAGGGTTGACAGGGCTGGAGACAAGGCCACAACATGGAGCCAAAAGGCCCATCCAGAGAAGCTGTGGATGCCCCATCCCTGGAGGTGTTCAAGGCCAGGCTGGATGAGGCTTTGAGCAGCCAGGTCTAGTGGGAGGTGTCGCTGCCCATGGCAGGGGGGTTGGAACTAGGTGATCTTTAAGGTCCCTTCCAACCCAAACCACTGTATGATCCAGGGGACAGGGCCAGAGGCAGGGACAGGGCAGGCTGCAGTGTCACTGGCACGGGGGCTGATGGCCCTGTGTGGCTGATGTCAGGCCCTGGGCCATAGGCAGGGTGGGGGAGACCCAGAGGGCGGACACGGGGTCCTGGGCCATGGGTAGGGGAGCCCCAGGGGGGCTGCCGAGGGAGCATGAGGCTCACTGGTGCCCTCAGGGTCCTGTCAAAATGGGCCCTGACCGTGAAGCGCAACTTAATGAGCAGCTGGTAAAAAAAATTAATTGGTTTTCCAGCTTTTAATGGAAAATACCGTCCTCAAGCTTGGTTTGGTTTTTGTTTCTTTTTTTTTCCATATGCCTTTTGTCTCAGTTTTTGTTTTGGGAATTTTTTGATGTCAGGAAAATATTCATTAAAACATTTAATTTAATTATGAAATATTTTGTGTGTGTTTGCTTAGCTAAATCACACCTTTTCCTGCCGCTTCAACAGTCATCTGTGTTCACCAAAGTTGCCATGCTGCTTCATGAGGGGTGATCTTTCAATGGTTGCAACCCTTCTCTTCCTCTGAGAGCTGAACTGCATCCTTCGCATGACACCATCATTGGTCAGTGAGTTGAACTGATGTGACACACCAGGAGATTTTTATGAGTCTATATGGCAGGAAGACTGAATCATAAAGAGTGAACACATAACTTTTCTGAACTATATTTCCTACTAAGCATGTCAACAGTTCTAGCAAGTAGAAATTAATGCCACACTGACTCAAAAGGAAAAGGTTCAGTTCAGCAAAGGGAAACGAAACATTCAATTTGGGGAATTTTTATCCATTTACAAAATTAAATTTCAAAACCTTTGCTTTATTAGAACAAATATCACCCCAATTTGTTTTAAAAAAAATAAAAAGCTATGAAACCTGCAGGAAGAATTTTGACCAGTTATAATTTTTTCTTTTTGCTTCCTTGCTCTTCAAAATCTCATTTTCTTAAGTCTAAAATCTCACAGTCTTGTTCACGCAATAGCCCTACTTTCATAACAATATTCTTGAGATACCTTCTGTGTAATTTCATTTCCATCCAAATAAAGCTAGAGGGAAAACATCTAATAAGCAGATTCC